GGGATAATCGGGATGGGAGTGTCAGAGACAGTGCGATTGGCACAGGACAGAGCAGAGTTTAGGGCTGTTGTACATAGGGTCGCTATGAGTTGCAAGCTCCTCGACAGCACATAACAACAACAACAACATTAGTAAATTTGATATTCGGCTTCCCTCAGTCTGGAGGAGAGCTTCGGCTCACAAATGCCCGCAGGGTTTCTGAAGCTTGCTGCCTTCCAGACTGCTGTGCTGGATGAGAGCCAGGAAGGAATCGCAGTCTGACCACAAGAGGCCGGGGCAGTGTGCAGGAAGTTTACAGTCTGATTTGAGGAATCCCAGGGTTCATGGTCACTTTCTAAAGAATTCAACACAAGCTTAGAAAATGACTGTGGAACACTACGTAGCTTGCAGGAGCAGGGCCTGGTAGCGCAGTGGTCAAGCAATTGGTTCCTAACTGAGAAAGGTAAACAAGTGGAAGCCCTGGACAAGCTGATTCACTGAAGACAGCCTTAGGAAGGCTGTGGGGCCTTCTAATGCATCTGCAGGGGCACTGAGTCAGGATCTACTAGCAAAGTAGTAAGATTTTTTGGTAATATATTTTGTTATTAATGTCAACTACATTATCACATCTGACATGGATTAAGTTACTTTGTTTTTTCTTTGGCATTTATACTTCTTTTTATGTATGTTAACTTTTTAAAAAAAATCCTGTGTTATTATGCACATTTTTTTAAAGTTGCAAAACTAGTAACACATGGGAAATTCCAGTCTGTAAGGAATAAGAAACCAGTATTTCTCCTATTCAAGCCACCCATTCCTATCCAAACACTATCATTAGGCATACACTTTAAAAGAATATTATTTTATCATTATTATAATCCATGGGTCCTCAAGTTAACCAGGGAACAACAGGATTTCAAAAGATCACTCAAACTCCAAAAATTAGCCCACGTCCTTGCACTTGGATGTTGCCAAGTTGATGCCAAATTGACATCATCTAAACTGAGTCCAGCTGGCTAATTTTAAATACCAAATTTTCTTACCATGTTTTAAAACAGCCCATGTCTCTCATGGGGTCTTTTGTAGCACCAACTCCACTAATGGTCCAGAAGGGATTGATAGCTGTAAAGTTGGGCTAGGAGCTCATAAATGATGAAACCAAATTTAATGAAATAAAACAAAAATCCTCTATCTTACGAAGAGCTCCTGACGGTTGAAGAGCAGAGGACAGAACATGAGACACTTTGTTGGCAGATGGTTTATTTGCTGGTTGAATTAAGGACCCCTCTAGGATGTCTGCCACCTGTCAGTCTGTCCCACTGTGGTAGTTTGCCTGTTTCTGTGATGCCAGAAGCTGACAGGTGGTCTTGAGTTGTCACAGACCCGGAGTGATTTTGTGAGACAGAAGGAAACCCTGCCCCGCCCTCACAATCTCAGCTGTGCAGTTCCTCAGACAATCCAGTTCTTTGAGCCTTTTGCTTGATGCTAGAAGCTATACCACTAGTCTGCCAAATATCAGCAGGGTCACCCATGGTGGATAGGTTTTCCAGAGTATGATATAGGGTCGCTGACAATGAGCCAATGAAAACTTATAAGGATCAAGACAGAAACGAATATCTGGCAGACAACCATTTTTACCGAGCAGATGAGGGATATTTGTTCCCAAATTCGAAGGCTCAGCCTCAGTTGCCATATATTTTAGTCTACTCTAAGTGTGTTCTACTGTACATAGGGCTTTTAAAGGCCTGTTATATTTCAGAAGTGGATGGCCAAGCAGGGCTTTATGAGGAGGATCTGCTGTCAGGGACCTCTCCAGAGTACTGGAAAGTAACGGTGTCAGTCTAGAGACTAAGGGGCGCCTAAACCAGTCCCTGGTCTTTGCAATTACTTGCTATGCATCAGAGAGCTGGACAATGACTAAGGATGAAAGAACAATCGATGCCTTTAAATTGTGGTGCTGGAGAAGAGTCTTAAACATACCGTACACCACCAAGAAAACAGGTAAGTCTGTTTTGGAGAGGGTGAAACCAAGTTTTTCCTTGGAGGCTAGGACTCTGAAGTTCTGTCTCACATACTTTAGGTACATGGCTAGGATAAACTGGTCCGTGGAGAAGGAAATCATGCTTGGAAGGGTGGAGGGATGGTGCAGGAGAGGAAGACCCCGGATGAGACGGATTGATACAGAAACTTGGGCAGTGAGGGTTGGTGTGTCGGAATTAGTGAGACTGGCTCAGGACAGGGTAGGCTTCAGAGCTGCTATACATAGGCAGCTATGGGTCATAGGCAACTTGATAGCATATAACAACAGGAAGGATCAGGACAAAATATCATCCAATATAGTGCTGGAAGAAGAGTGTTCTTAAGTTTGAAACAAAATAGCAAATGCAAGGTTATTGCTATGGAGTGGATTTTGACTCGCCCCAAACCTGTAAAACTAGAACTGCTCCACAGGGTTTCTTTGGCAATAAGATGACAGAAGAAGAATTGTGATGTTGGCAAAAAGTCCTGAATTTCTAATGGACTGCCAAAAGAATAAACAAGGCTGTCTTGGAAGAAATGCAAGCCTCTTAAGAGGCAAGGATGGTGACATTTCATCTCACATACTTGAGCCATGTTGTTAGGAAGGGCCAGTCCTCGGTAACAAGGCAAGAAAGATGCAGGACCAGATCAACAAGCAGATTAGCATAGCGATTTTAACTATGAACTTAAGCACATTGGCGGTGAAGGTGACCTAGGATGGTGTTAGGTTCAGATCAAGGTTGTTTAAAGATTGGACATGAGAAGTAGTCACCTGGAGGAATTAACAAGTCTGTATGGAAGCTAGCTGACTGCCAACATGTTTCTTCTTCTGAGCCCCAGAGGTGCTCCAGCTGATCTTTCTTTTGGGAGCCCAGCGCTTAACCACTGCGCCAAGCATTCAAAATATGCAGAGGCTGCAATTTTGGACTCATGATTGCCAAGGTTTGTGAGGATGGTGCAGAACTGCATGTTCCCTTCTGTTGTATGTGGAGTCGCCTTGAATCAAAGCCCTCCGGTGAGAAGGCAACAACCTGGAAAGAAGCTTCGAGGGCAGGCGCAGCAGCCCTGAGTACACGGCCTCACGTGCCTTGTCCCTTCAGGGCCTCTGTCACTGTATCACGTGATCCGGCTCCCCTTGGGCTCCTCGCCCACCCACATTACGTGGCGACTGCTCCCTTCCAGGTGCTCTTTCCCACACCGGGCGGCCTCCACTGAGCCTACGCACGAGGAGGGTCAAATCTGGCCAGGCCAGACCAGCAGGGCATTCCTCACGATGACAGGTCACCGGGCCAAAACCCCGGCCATGCCCTCGCTGCCTGACTCCACTCGGTTGCAACAGGCAGGCGGGCGGGGGAGGAGGGAGTAGCGCGCACGCGCGAAGCCCGGGGGCGGAGCTTCAGAGCAAGCGCGCAGGCGGCGAGGGGAAGGGGAGGAGCCTCTGGAGGGAGCGCGTGCGCGCTCCAGCCCTCCCGGCCCGGCCCACGCGGCGCGCGGCGTGCTGACGCCGGCGCGGCCGAGGAAGGGGCGGGGTCTGGGCGGGGCGGGCCGGCGTTCCCCGCCCCTCCGGCCGGCTCTCTCCCCCGCCCTCCCCCACTCCGGGCCCGTCAGCGCGGGCTGCTCTCGTCGCGCAGGGTCGCATCGGCCGGGCCCGGCCAGCTGGCAGATGCCTGGAGCTGCCGCCGCCGCCGCCGTAGAGTGGGCCGGTGGTGGTGTGGGAGGCGGGCGTCCAGCCCGGGCCCTCTGAGAGCGGCAGACGGGGCCGGGGTGGCCCCGGGGCGCCGCGGCTCCGTGCGGACCATGTATTTCCTGAGCGGCTGGCCCAAGCGGCTGCTCTGCCCGCCGGGGCTCCCGGCCGAAGCACCGCTCCACGTCCAGGCCGACCCGCAGCGGGCTTTCTTCGCCGTGCTGGCCCCGGCTCGTCTCAGCATCTGGTACAGCCGAGTAAGTAGCGCGGCGCCCCGGCCCGTCCCGCCCCCCACTTCCCCCGAGCCCGGACCCTGCGCCTTGCTTGGGGGCCCCGCGCCCCGCCGGCACCCCCAGGTGGACCGAGCCCCGCGCCCCCCCCACCCGGGAACCCCCGCCGGCACGTCCCGGGGGACCCCGCCGCGGCCGCCCCGCCGGCTCCGACCCCGCGCCCCGCCCCGTCCCCTGGGGACAGATGCGGGCGAACTTTCCGCGGAGAAGTCGGTGCCCGGTGCGCGCACCTCCGCGCTGCGCTCACCTCGGCGCCGCTCTAGGGGTCGCCGTGGGGCGCTGCGAGCCGCCTGCCCCGCGCCCGACTTGACAGGCCTGGAGGAACTTCCTCTGCAAACTGCGGCCCGAGTTCTTTGTGTTTCGGGACAGATCTGCCCCCCGTCCCACTTAGAGAGGAGACTCCTTCCTGCTGCGGGGACTGTGCGGGCGATCGGGGGCCGCAGGGGGGCCGGGAGCAGAGAGGCGCTCAGGAACACCTGGAAATAATGGGACCTGGGAGCAGCGTGGGGACGGGACTGGTGTCTGCTTTCTGTGCGTCCCGTTCGTCTTCCCCCACCCCCCCTTTCTTCTAACTGGTTAGCGAATAGCTAAGAGAAATAACGTGAAAACTGAGTGGTGGATAGTATCCATCCCCTTTATTCTGCAAATGCTGTTCCAAGTCTGTCGTTCAAAGCCACAGAAGTCAGGAGTAGGAAAATATTTTTCTTTTTTTTCAGAGAAGGCAGTGCTAATCGATATCAGAGTAAAATGTTTTGTTTTTGTTTTTGTTTCATAGTTGACTTCCCCCATTGTGTGATAGGTTGTGACCTTGGCCTCTTTAGAACAGAATGAGGTGCTGAGATTTGATAAATTAAAACTCCCAGAGTTTTATGTATGATACCACTAGAATGAATGCCTCTAACAGCCTAGGCCGTCACAGCCCTGTTAAATGTATGTAACTCTTGTGTGACTGGAATATTTGTAAATCAGAGTGGTTGTCATTAAGCTTTGGAGGATCTCTTGTTCTTCTTTGTATCAGGACAAAACTGCCATGTAACATAATTACCTTCAGTGAGGCTGTGCTGTGTGGTTCTTGATTGGGATTTTTTTTCCCCTCTTTCTAATGTGTGTTGAATGCTATCAGGGTCTTAAATGAGATACCAACTTATTTACATTGTGGCCTGTCCGCCCAGTGATTTGTTCAGGTGTGTATAACTATTTTCTTTCAAGCTTACACAAATGATAGACCTTGATTGCCTCATGTAGTCTTCAACTTTACTGTGCTGTAACAAATTGTATTCATAAGCCCTAAAATTTAACTTTTCCTCTTCAAGTAAACAGAAGTCCTTGAGTAGCACAGATGGTTAAGTGATAGGGCCAGGAGCCTGCCAGAGGTGCCTGGGAAGGCAGACAGCTTTGCCTATCTGCTTTTGAAAGATCACTGCTTTGGAAACGCCTATGGAGAGAAAGAGTATTGAGTATAACATGGGCTACGAAGAGAACAAACAGGTTCGAAGAGAACAAACAGGTTCGTCCTAGAGGGAGTGAAACCAGGCTGCTCCTTGGAGGCAAGAATTTTGAAATTCCATCTGACATATTTTGGGCATGTTGCCAGGAATCCTTGGAGAGGGACATCATGTTTGGAAGGAGTGGAGGGACAGTGTTACAGAGGAAGACCCTGGATGAGATGGGTTATCTGAGTGACTGGGGTAATGGATGGGCTAGGTATGTAGAGACAGTGAGGCTGACTCAGGATAGAGCAGGGCTCAGAGCTGTTGTGCATAAGGTCACAATGAGTCGCAAGCAACTAAATGGTTCATAGCAACAACAACGACCTCAGTTGTAGTCTGACACACTTGGGATTGTCGTGAGTTAGAATGTACTTGATCTTGGTAACTAACAGCAACAAAGCAGGTAAAGTTAATTTTCAGTCTGCCTACACTTTATGAGAGTGCTCTGGTGGCCTAGTGGTATGAAGCAGTGCTGCAATCCTAAAAGCACACAGTTCAAATCCACCAGTTGCTCCCCAGAAGATAGATGGGATGTCTCCTCCAGTGCAGTTTACTGTCTTTGCAAACCCATGAGAGGGTAAGTTATGGGTTGGTGCAGACTCAGCAGCACACAGTCAACCAAATGGCAAAAGAAGAGCCAATGCCCTCTAATTGTGGTGTTGGAGAAGAATACTGAACATCCTCCGGATTGCCAAAAGGAGGCCAAACCTGTCTGGGAGAAAGTGCGGCCAGGGTTCTTCCAGAGGAGGATGGTAAAGCTGCATGTTGCATATTATGGGTGTGTGCTCAGCCTTTATACTGGGAAAGGTGGACAGTCAGAGAAAGAGAAGAAGACCTGCAAGAATGTGGATTGACAGGTGACTGTGACAACGAGCTCAAGCATATAAGAGATGTGGAGGATGGCTCAGGATAGGGCAAGGCTCCGAAACACATGCCTTAGGGATTGTAGCACAACTACTTACCGTTAGGCCACCAGAAGCGGCAGTCACCAACAGCAACAGTACTTTTATGAGGGATCTCTTGAGGCCTACTCTATAGGTAGTTGCACTGCTAACCCTAAGGCGTGTGGCTTGAATCCACCAGCTGCTCCTCGGGAGAAAGATGGGCAGTCAGTATCCTCATGTGATTTAGTGCCTCGGAAAATACACTGGAGGAGCTATGGGTTAGTTCTGACTTGATGGCTCACAACACTACACACTTCCAGTGGTTTGAATCCACCAGACGTTTTGTTGTAGGATATGTGTGTGAGAGAGAGTGTGTATGTGTGTGTATACTTCATAAGAGATGAGTAGAATCCTGTACTCTATTCCTCTGGGAAAGGAATGAATGAAAATATACCCTTCAGCTTTCTTAAAAATATTGTTAATATTCTCAAGGAAAAAAAAATACATATTTTGTTTGGTTTTAGAGTTGGATTCTGTCCTCGTTACCTAGTACTGCTATAACAGAAACACCTCAAGTAGGTGGCTTTAACAAACAGAAATGTACTTTTTACAGTTTTGGAGGCTAGAAGTCCAAATTCAGCATGCCAGTTTCAGGGAAAGGCTTTCTCTCTTTGCCTTCTCTGCAGGAATGGTCTTGTATCTTCAATTTCTAGTTCCTTAAAGGTCTCCATGTATCTTATCCCTCAGTTTATTTCTCAAACTTATTTCTTCCTCTGCCTTTATATGTCACTAATATTGCTTCCTTAACCTATCAAAGACTTTCCCCAAATGAAATAATAACCTCAGATTTAGAAACTAAGATTGATAACTTATTTTGGGAAACATCCAAAGAAGATGGAGGAAACACCCAGTCACTTGAAAAAATGGAAGATGTGTAACCATTTCAGGAGGTAAAATATAAAGAACTGATGACACTGAATAGAGAAGCTGCACTGAAGACAAGGGTCCAGGAACTGATGAAATACGTATTGAAATGTGCCAGCATAGAAGCAGTGTGGGAGCTCCTTAATTCTTCTGTGCGTGCCAAGAAACTTAGCAGACAGTTACATAGGCAACTGACTGGAAGAAGTTCACATTTGTACCAATTCCAAAGAAAAGTTATCCAACAAAATGTAGAAATTGTTGAATAATGTTGTTATGTGCTGTCGAGTCACCTGCTACTCATAGTGATCTTATGTACAACAGCCCTAAACCCTGCTCTGTCCTGTGTCAGTCTCACTGTCTCCAACACACCCACCCCAATTATCCCAGTCACTGAATCCATCCACCTCATAGAGGGTCTTCCCCGCCAGCGCTGTCCCTCCACCCTCCCAAGCATGACATCCGTATCTAAAGACTGGTCCCACCTTGCAACATGTCCAAAATATGTCAGATGAAGCCTCAGAATCCTTGCTTCCAAGGAGCAGCCTGGTTTAACACTCTCTAGGATGAATCTGTTCGTTTTCTTAGCAGCCTATGGTACACTCAGTACTCTTCTCCAACACCAGAGCTCAAAGGCCTCAGTTCTCCTTCTGTCCTTCCTAGTCATTGTCCAGCTCTCTGATGCATAGCAAGTGATTGTAAAAGCCATGCCTGTATCAGGTGCACCTTAGTCTCCAGAGTGACACCATTGCTCTTCAGGACCCTGGAGAGGTCCCTATCGGCAGACTTTCCCATACACTACGTCTTTTAATTTTCTGGCTGGTGCCAAGAGTGTTGATTGTGGAGCCAAGCAAACTAAAGCTGTGAATAATCTTAATCTCTTCACCATCCATCCCAATTATATGCAAGTAAAATCTTGTGAATGATTTTATCTTGCTTGGATCAGCAGTCAGCACCCTTGGTAGCCACAGTCAGGAGATTAGGAGATGTATTATTACATTGGATGAGCTTGCTGTCCAGGACCTCTCCAAAATACGGAAGAACAGTGATGTCAGTTTGAGGACTAAGGTACATGTGATTCAGACTGTGTTCTTTCCATTCACTTGCTGTGCATCTGAGAGCTGGACAGTGAATAAAGATGACAGAAGAAGAATTGATGCCTTTTAGTTGTGTTGTTGGAAAAGAGTACTGAATATCCCATGGACTGCCAGAAGAACAAATAAATATGTCTTGGGGGGGAAAGTGCCATCAAAGTGCTCCTTGGAAGCAAAAATGACAGAGCTCTGTGTCTCATACTTTGGGCATGTTGCTAGGAAAGGCTATTCTTTGGAAAGGGACCTCATGCTTGGGAAGTTGGAGGGTCAGTGAAAGAGGAAGATCCCTAATGAAATGGATTGACACAATGACTGCAGCAGTGCACTCAAGTGTGTCAGAGATTGTGAGGATGGCACAGGAGAGGCCAAGGTTCAGATCTGTTGTTCATTGTATCATTATGAGTCATATTTGACTCAACAGCATTTAATAACAATTGTGCTTGTATTGGAATTGATCCATATAGATCTATATTCTAGAAAGAGATGATGGTGATGATATGTGCCGTGGAGTCAGAACAGATTCAACAAACCTTCTAGGGAGTTTTCAGAGGTAGTAAATCAATCACAGGAGAGGAGAT